GTTTTCTATCATTAACTACTCCACTAGCATTTACATTTAAATCGACACCAGCAACTGCCTTTTCCAAATTTGAAAGATTTGGAGGGTGAGATATTATGACATTTCGAACAAACAAAACGGTCCTCTCACGTTGGGCCTCGTGCACACCATTTGGTCAAGTGCGCAACCTTTAACGAAATATTGCAAATGGTGTTAACATTTGCAATCAATCTATGACGGTAAAAAAGAAAACTCACTTTCGAAGATGAGATCTTAATTAGAATAATAGTTACTGGCAGCTACGAGGTAGAGTTGCTAGGTGAAGTATTCCGCTGGGTGGTTCTGCGATTTCATTGAAGATGGCAGATATCCTCAAAATTTGGAAAAAACAGATAGGTAATTTCGGTTTTCACCACAAGACCACGTTTCCTTCAACAAAGCTTGAAAATTTATCGATCACTGGGCGTACACTATCACTCTGGTTCCTTCTAACATTTGCTCTATGGTCAGAGCCATGAAATACAAATATTTACATTACTCAAATCTTTTAGACATTCTACATCACTACTCAGTTCTAGGTCAATACAATTTAAAGACATCTACACGAAACAAAGAGCAAACTACAAGTTGACCTTAAAGAAAAAAAATCGCAGAATATTAGTTAACCTACAGGAGACGAGCGAAATCAAAATTCAGTTCGGGACTAATGGGTTCTGCGACCATGAAGTCGGGATCCGAAAGCGAAGCCGCGAAATGGTCCAAAAACAATCGTGCGGAAGTTTCTGTGATTGCTCGGGCATCGAAACATAATGTAGCCGTGAATCTAAACCACAAACAATCAAGTAGAAATTAAGAGCATAGTCTCAACGAGTAAACAAAAAAGAGGAGGAGCATGCCCGCTCGACCTGGAAGCTAAGTATTCAAAAAATTGGATATGAGTATAAGAACGCCGGATGTTAGGAAAATCAAAATCAAAAACCAAACAAAAAACAAAAATCAAAATCCTACACTCGATGAAAATGGTGCTATTTCTGCACAGGAGTGTAAAGTGGAGCGATAGTGAATAAAAAAGAAGAGTCGGTATAAAACGTGAAACTAAGGGTCTTTGTGACTCGGTCGTTCCACGGAATTGAGACGCTAAGTCGTAGAAGAGGGTGAAAATGGAGCTTGAGGGGCCATTCCATTTTGCTCTGCAAGTCTAACGACAGGGATCAAGAGAAGGCAATTATGTTTGTAGTGGTAAACATAACAATTTAATAGACGCTCATTAGAGGTGATCCATTGATAAGAATCAGTGAATGCCGTGCATATTCGACATCCAATCTTTTTTTTTGCACATTTTCAGTAGCCCACCAAGGACTGCTCCGAGTCATTCCAGTGATACTTTTAGGAAAGCTTCTTCAAGTGAATGTAATTGAATTATACTCTAAATGAAGTGTGTAGGCAAGAGAGTGCAATGGATGAGAGGCATCGGCGGCCGGTTTTGCGAATGAGACGTGATGAGCGCCGGTCTTGGGCAGGGCCTAAAACTCTAGTCGCGCAGTTTCTGTTGAAGAAAATCTGCGAAGAATGTGAACCTTCAGAGGTATTGATTTCTCTCAACTCATCGTGGGTATACCTTTAACTAGCCGATGAAATGTTGAAAACCCTACCTATTTCTTGGCTTGAAGTTTTCATCCATATCGATTCTAGTTCCTCCGACAGTTAGAATTGCCGCTTGCGGTGGATGTATAATGGCTGTGAACTGCTCTACGCTGTCAAACATTCCCAAGTTTGAAATGCTGAAAACAACAAGCACCCTTGGGTAGCAATAAATATAGCCTGAAATCAAATGATTTTACGAACGTGAACGATCCTCCTTGACATTCTTCCGGGCGGAGTTTGTTTTCACTTGCACGATCGGCCAAATCCTGTACAAACCTTATTTTAAAGGCCACTTGTGAACATTTGATATGAATTCTCGTTCACCTTCACTCTGACAGATATATCTTGAACGCCAAGAATGTCAGCCGACCTCACAACAAAATTGGTCAAACCATACGCAACGGAAATGTCAACTGTTGGCAGGAAAGTCAGGTGAGATTCGGAGGAGTACTGTACATTAACTTCGGGCACCGCCTGCAAACATACACTAGGGAATTCTCACCTTAGCCATGTAAAAGGTGTTAGCCGCGGCTATGATTATCATAATATGGAGCGATTGAAATTGAAAATGTAGAGGTTAGTACCCGCAAGGCAAGTGCTGCTGCTTTGATGATGAAGCTGTTGAGAGGCACTTCAACTCCTTTGCCTTGCAATTCTGCTTGAATAGCCATTATTGTATCTGCTTGCACAGTCGCTGATTGATACCCATGTGGAATGGACTGCTGAAATCGGTGGAGCATGGCACATAAAAAACGACAATCCAGAGAAAATATTCCGTAGGAACAAGGTTTTGTGGGAATAAAAATCTGAGATACCTTCGACTGAACTAACATCTTTGCAATAGTGGCACGCTCATTGGAAAGTGGAATATCAGTGAACTTCTCAATATGGCGCACTGAGCCGGTTGGCTAAAGAGTGATGATTAGTGAGATGTGACGTTCAGTGTACCGCTGAGAGCAGTTCTGTCTTGCTACTGCCTAGTTTTAGCACATCTAATCGGAAAGCAAAAGATCTGAACCCGACACTGACCTACGCCTGAGTGTTTTGACCAGCACTAGGCATACGTCCTACACATACTCATTGTGGCCCAGAGCGACATTTCCGCTTTTCACACGCGGAACTTTTTTCGTTGCGAGAATCCTAGGTCCGACTGTCAGAGTGGGATCTGGGGTTGCTCCAGCGAGAAAAGTTTCGCGTTGCTGAAAGCGAAGAAGTCGCTTTTTTTTCTAGCGACGCACCCCATTAGTGGTAATTCAGCCACAAATTTCCTACCCCATTCCGCAACCAGTCAACCTTAAAGCTACAGTCCCAGCAGGGTTTTTACCTTCGACACTAATGGTATGAAACGCGCGCTAGCCCTAGTCAAGAACATAAGAAAGTGTGACTGAACAAAAAACTTCACCTTGGAAAGCCGCCAGAAAGGGAGCTGAACAGCTTTCGAAGTGGGCGTGGTTATCAATCGGCGACGGACTTTACTGACGCGCCCTTTAAACCGCGTTCTCTCGTGGGTATCTCTCTTCACCTAGGCTTAGTTCTAGGGCCCCCACTTCGAAGCTGTTCGGCTCCCTTTCTAGCGGCTCTTCAACAAGGAATGGTCAATTGGTCGGTCCGGCCATTTGTAATGAGGTGTAGTCCGATGCATGCGTCTTGCGACGCTGAGCTCAAATCTGCTTTCGGTTTTTGCCGAACGATTCTCTGAACGAAGTTACGAGGGATTCTTCTCACTGTGGCGCCCTCTACATTCCCTGTCCCACTCGGCTCGCATAAGAAGAGCCGCAGAGCATTAATGCAGTGGGTATGGTGGTCTAGTGGATAGCGCTCTTGCTTCATAGGGTGAGGTCATATGTTCGAATCCTTGTCGGCAAACTTTTGCATTTTTTCAAGGCTGCTCATACGAGCCCAGAAAGCGTTTATAATTGGTTATTCTGTTATGCGTTCTGTTCGTTCGTTCTGTTTTTACGCGAGCCAAGTGGGATAGGGGATGTAGAGGGCGCCACAGTGAGAAGAATCCCTCGTAACTTCGTTCAGAGAATCGTTCGGCAAAAACCGAAAACGGATTTGAGCTCAGCGTCGCAAGACGCGTGCATCGGACTACACCTCATTACAAATGGCCGGACCGACCAATTGACATTCCTTGTAGGTGAGTTTTTTGTTCAGTCGCAGTTTTTATGTTCTTGATTAGGACTAGCGCATTGTTACATACCACTAATGTCAAAGGTGAAAACCTTGCTGAGACTGTTGCTTTAAAGAAGAAATGCAAACGAACCTTTGCAGGAGCTTTCGGCGGTGCACTAGGTCCAGAGCTTGGAGCAGCTGCAGCTGGCTCAGGAGGTGGAGCAACACTGACAACGACGGGTTTCAAACCACTTGCCTTTATGAGTCCAAGTACGTCGCTGCAAAAACAAGATAGAGCAGAACTGCAAGAAAATGACTTCTCATAGTAAAGACACCACATGCAGCACCACCTTTAAGAGCTTTGCAAAGAATTCCCACAAAAAAAGAGTACTAATTCGGAGTTCTGAAGGTGGACTGACCGTTGGAAGGTTTTGGAAACGTACCTTTTCATAATGTTACCCTTGGGTCCTGTTGCTTTCACATCCTTTTGATCAACACCATACTGTAGCATAAGCAATCGCACTGCCGGACCACATAATCCACTGAAATAAGTGTTTTGAAAACCTTGAAATAGTTTTCGATGTTTAAAAACGACAGGTACATCTATCATATAGATGCAGCGAAACTGCTTGGAGAGCAAACCTTGACGAATGTGGAGCTGTGGTGAGACTTCGGACCGATGCTGTGGCAGCACGAGTTAACAGCATCGGTGGTTTCTATCAAGTACTGAAATGAAGAAAAATAAGAATTGGGAATGGGAATTTAGACAGCCGTCTAGCTTTGCACTGGTTGTGGCATTGATTCAAAAGAACCAGTGCTAACAGGAAAAACACAACAGGCACAAGAGTGCAGCGAACACATGCTCACGTAAAGAGATCAAACTCAACCAGTAATGCCGTCGTGAAATGCTGTGGCCCGCAATCGCAGTGGAAACACGGAGTATTGCGGAAACAACTCCCGTGTTCATTACACTTGATTCTGTTGCAGTGTTGAGCCTTATGCTCCAAGTAGTATTCTCTGTTTTGCTAAGGATGTCCACTGAAATGTCCACTTGTACTGGACAATATCTGATCTCAGCCCTGGTATTTCGAGAAAAAGACGCTGCAGCAGGAATCCGGGCGCTAGTGAACTCAGGGGCTGTAAGGTATCCTTCCTCGAGCAGGAGAGGGACCCCTCCTTGGTAAGGTGTTTTCTCCACAAAAACTTTCGGAGAAAGGCAGCCACCGGTTCTCAGGGATGTCTCCCCGAATGCATGTCAAGCACAGGGATATCTCCCCGATTGACATGCAGTCGGGGAGATATCCCT